CAATCTGGTATATATTCTAGTTAATTATCTATTTATATAACTCAGTTTGTAAAAAAATCTGTCCAGGTGTCCTTTTTGAACTATGTTGCACAATACAGATAAAACTAATATTAAATCATATAGTATTTTGCATAAGTTTTTTTTTTTTGGTAACTGGGATTGAACTTGGGACCTTGCACTTGCGAGGCAGGCGGTGGAACCACTGAGCTAAATTCCCAGCCCTATTTTGCATAAGTTTTAAAACTCTTTTGATGAAGACTTCTTAAATAAATCTAACAAACTATGTAACTCCTTGTGTTTTTGTTTTGTGTGTGGTGTGTGTGTGTGGTATTGGGGAATGAATCCAGAGACTTTGGACTGAGCTACATCCCCAGCCCTTCTTGTCTTTTAAAAGAGGATCTCACCAAGTTGCTCAGGCTGGCCTCAAATTTTTGGACATCCTACTTCAGCATCCTGAGCTGCTGGGATTAGAGTTGTGCACAATTGTACCTGGCACTCTTATGAATTTTAAATTAACATTTAAAAATGAAGTTGGGCCGGGGATTTAGCTCAGTGGTTTCACTGCCTGCTGCACAAGCGCAAGGACCCGAGTTCGATCCCCGGTACCAAAAAAATAAAAGTAAATTAAAAAAAAAAAATGAAGTTTATTATAAATAATTGAAAGTGATGTAATTTCTAGTGTACTGTAAATATCAACATTTTAACAACTTTTATTGTTATATTAATATTCCTTAGCATCTGTTCTTGATTAATGGATAGAAAGTCAATTTTTTTAACTTCTCTGAGGAAACAAGAGATTTTATTCCTGGAGGGGGCAGTGAGGGGGTAATCCCTTCTTTTGTTGCATCTGTTTGTCCTAGTGTCTCCCTGACCCCTATATGTTTTGATCTCTCATTTGCATCAGAGACTTTCCTCCAATAAGTGGTGATCCAGAGATAATCTGTCTGAATCAGACTAAGTGAAGAACCAGAAAATGTCTGGAAGTTTTATGCATATAGATGGAACTCTTCATTGATTTAGATGGAGACTCTAAAGTCATTCTCTTTGGGCCTTTCCTCTTTGGCTGGTAAGATCCTCAGAAAAGACTCTACAAGAAGAGGAAGGTTTGGCTGCTAATCTGGGAAAAAAAATAAAAAAGGAATAGTGGGGAAATTTCCATTCATCAGTAAGTACAGTCACCTAATCCCCATTTTGGTTATTTCCAGTCTACTACCAGGATAGAAATAGGTAATTATCCAGTGGGACAGATAAGATATAGATACAAATATAGATATAGATATATAGAACAGCCTTTTTTTTTGAGACAGGGTCTCACTGTGTAGTTCAGACTGGCCTTAAACTCACTATGGAGCCCAGATTGGCCCCTTGCAGCAAACCCAACTGCTTCAACCTTCCAAGTGCTGGGATTACAGGTGTGTGCCCGTAGAACAGCTTTTTTTAGCCTGGCTAGAATAGCTTTTCAAACAGGCTTTTTCACTTTAGCCCTCTGCCTTCCCATAGTTGATACTGACAATTTCTGAGATTTTGACTTCTTGAGACTTTTTTTCTTCTTGAGACTTTTGATGATTTTATGGTATAAATCACGATGGCTTTCATTTTTCCAGTGCCAATGATGATTTAGCTGTTTTGAGTGAAATAAGCCCATTAGCACTTCATCTGCTTTCCAGCATTTATTTATTTATTTATTTATTTATTTGACAAGGCCTTGTTATATCATTCAGGTTGGCCTCAAAGTCACAGTGATCCTCCTTCTGCCACAGCCTCCCAAATACTCCAGCTTTTAAAATTTACTATTTTCTTTTTCCTTTGTGATACCCTCATCCTTATATATTCACTCCACTAAAAAAAAAATCCCTTTACTATAGGTTCAGTAGAATTTCAGGACAGAGCAAAAATATTTCATTATAACCCAAACCCACATAGCCTTTTTTTTTTTTTTGGTACGGGGGATCGAACTCAGGACCTTGTGCTTACGAGGCAGATGGCAGAACCACTGAGCTATATCCCCGCCCTCCCCAAATAGCCATTTTGGTAAGAGGATTTTCACTCTGCCAAACCTTCAGAAACTGAGATTTGTCAATGGATTTGATTAGATGTATACATCACTGTGTGAGAAGGAACAAAAAAAAAAAAAATGGGAAAAGGAACTATATATTCTGTGGTTAACTTTAAATGGTAATAAAAAGTAAACTCCGCTAGAGTATAAAACTTATAATTAATACTTTTTTCTTTCTGGTACCAGAGACCGAACTTGGGACCTTGCGCTTGTGAAGCAAGTGCCGGAACCACTGAGCTAAATCCCCGGCCCAATTAATACTTTTTTTGCTACTAAAATCTAGGACAAGCCTGGTGAAATGATGGACACATATAAATAATCAGGTATACTCATTACATAGTGAAAATTCTGGAGTAGACAGACTATAAAGTTGACAATGATGATCCTGAACTGTATTACCTCTTGCCTGGTGATTCCCTGGACTACAGAGCCAGTCCATTCACTAAGCCCTTTTTTCTGCTGTTCCCTCTTAATCAATCCTAGCTCTTCACTGCCCCACCACTGTTTCTAAAAACAACTCAACTATTCTTTACTGCCTCTGTTTTTACCACAAGCTCTTTTCTCCTGTTATTTTCTTTGTCTATTATTCCTTCCCTTGACATCTCTCAGTGTTGATATGTGAAAGATCCAGCTTTTCTCTGCTCTGGAAGGTAATCCCATCAGTAATATGGAGTTTTGTGTAGTTGTGCATCTTTTTCATTTCAAAGATCTGTACTGAGTACCTACGTCAGGACAGGTCTGACTGCAGGCATTAATCATAAAAACAATGAACAAAACAAAGCCTCTACTCTCAATCAACTTGCATTTTAGTGGAGAAGATGGCAATAGTCAGAGTGGGTAATGAAAAGAAGTCTGAAGTATAGAAAGGGACACAGTGCGATGGGGGCTTATTACACAAAGTGATTAGAGAAGACTTCTCTTAAAAGAAAGGGGGAGCTGGGGATTTAGCTCAGTGGTTCCGCCGCCTGCCTTGCAAGTGGAAGGTCCCAAGTTCAATTCCCGGTACCAAAAAAAAAAAAAAAGAAAGAGGGACATGTGTAAAGAGAAATAAGGATATCATAGCATAAGTATCCCCCAAACAGAAAGGAACAAGCCTGGATGTGTGAGTAGGGAGCACACTTGCCTTGCTGAAGAAACAGCAGAGATTGCGTAGAACAGAGAAATGAAGTTTTGCTTCTCTGAATGGGTGCTGTTTTTACCACTGTTTACTCTTCACAAGATTTTGTTTTTTTTTTTTGGTACCAGGGATCGAACTTGGGTCCTTGTGCTTGCAAGGCAAGTGAAAGAACCACTGAGCTAAATCCCTGGCCCTGCAAGGTTTTAATATAATCTTTTAAATATGAACAGATTCAGATTCTAACTTATTTGAAAGTCTGAGATTTAAGTCCAGTAAGTAAGTGGAAATATTACTGAATAAGGTAATAATTTACTGCAATAAGCATTGTGGCTGAACATAGGCCTTAAACAATATCAATTATAGATGCAGTACCTATTTTTGAGTCGGAGAAGGTAGTACAGGGGCAAGATTGAAGAACAAGAGCTGGATCTGAGTCCTGGCTCTACACTTATTTGCTATCAATGATCCTGAGTCAGAGTTGTTACTATACATACACCTTTTACTCCAATTTCACAATGTGAAAGTGGCTATGGGGAAAGGATACTGGAATCAGAAACTTTGCTGCTACTTGTTAAATATGTCATTTTTTTTTTTTTGGTACTGGGGATCGAACTTGGGTCCTTGCGCTTGCGCAGCAGGCAGTGAAACCACTGAGCTAAATCCCCGGCCCTAAACATGTGGTTTTAAGTCACTTAAAAGCCTCAGTGTTACTTATCTGTGAAAAGAAAATAAAAATATCTACTTCATAACATTATAAAATTAAATGACATAATAATCAATGAATCTTTTTTTTTTTTTTGGAACTAGGGATTGAACCTAGGGCCTTTGCATTGAGCTACATCCCTAACCCTTTTTTATTTTGAGACAGCATCTTGCTAAGTTGCTAAGTTGCCCAGGCTGGACTCAATGTTTCAGTCTTCCTGTGTCAGACTCAGAACGCTATGATTTCAAGGATGTGCTACTGCACATGGCTTAAGATACACATTTTAAAACTATTTATAGAGCTTTCAAACTTATATTTTACTGAGTTTGCTTTTCATCAAAGTGCTTTCAAAATTTAATTTTACCTTTTGATTTACCTATTTATTTGCACTTAGGAGTGATATGCAAAATTTATCTTTCAAGCCAGCTCTCTATTTTTATGTATGTAAATCTTATATAGTAACTGTATCTTTTTTTTTTTGATAGTAGGAAAAATTTATTGAGAGAAAGACAGCTTATGTCTAAGGGAAACAGAAGGGGGACCGGAAAGTGAGTTGCCCCAATATCTTTTAAATTATATAGCCAAAAAAAAATTATACAGTGAAATTCAATAGATATAAACAACTCAACTTGAAATCCTTAAAAAGGATAAGAACTCATATTTTCACTTTCACTTTACTGACTGTTTTGCAATAGAAAATATGAGCATCTAGGGAAAAAGACTGAAAATAAATAACAATCACTTATTAAAAAGTGACCAGGATGTGTTTGATACCCAGCACTGTGAAACAAAACAAACCTAACAACTATTAACTACTTCTTAATGTATGGGGGTGCTATTTTTGTTTTTCTGAACCTCTACTTCTTAGTTAAGTCACTGAGTGCTAAACATAAATTTGCAGTTGTACATTTATTAAATATTTGATACACTATGTATGTTTTGATGACTGTATTAGAGAAAGATTATTGTATATTTTATAACCATATTGCTACCTATTAGTGACCTTATACTGCTGAACAGTAATTTTAAAATGCAATCTAAAAGGAGTATCAACTGAGGCCTTTAAAATATCCTCACTGGTCTTCAAAAGTACTTTACAAGAGATTTGACAGAATGGAACTTACTCCATCCCCTGTGCAGTCTGCCTTGCAATATCTATAAGTTTGATCATCTCAAATTTGGTCTCGATGATGTGGAGATGGTGGTATAAGCTGGAGCCCTCACACCACTGGGTAACAATAGCTAGCTGTGGCTTTGTAGAATAGCCCATGAAGAGTAGGATATTCACATGTCGTGTTTTCCTGTACAAAAAAAAGTGACAGTAAATAATAAATGTCAATAAACTTTAGCAATTCTTTAAAAAGAGAGACAAAACAATCCACATTTTAGAAAGATGTTGGCAGAAAAAGGTATTAAGAAGAATTTGATAAAGCAACAGAAGGATAAATTTAGAAGAGACCTGGAATTATCTACTCTAACCACCTCCCCTATTCATAAGTATCTTTCTTTAAATTTACCTAGCAGGAAGGTAGAGGTTATTTAAATACCTTCAATGATGGGAAGCTCATCACTTGAGAATGGAGCTGTCCCTCACTTCTTTGCTTAAGTGGTGGTGGTTCTAGTATTAGAAATTTTTCTTCTGTGGAAACAAAATCATTTTCCTCCAACCTCAACTGGCTTCCCTGTTTTGCTCTCTGAAATAAAATAGTGTAACTTTGTACCTTCTTGAATATGACTGTCTTCTCTGGATTAAATGTCCTCAGTTTTGTTCACTATTTTCGTCCTAAGTTATAGCTCTAGGATCCTCCCCATGTAAACTGTCCTACCTAGGACTTACTCTCATTTGTCAATGTTCCTCAAGTCCTAGGGCCCATGACTATATAGAATCTCTAAATGTGCACTGATACATTTACAATTTTGAGGGTATTGTTTCCACAATAACTATTATTTTACATGTCCAGAATACTGTAATTCTGTTAATTCAGTCTAGGATTAAGTCTTCTATTAGCTGTACCATATAATATTACATACCACTTAAAAGAATATGGTTAAAAACAAAATATAATTATAACATTTTCTCTATACTTAATCATTTTGAGTAAATTTGTAAAGCTAATAATGACAGGGTCTCACTATATAGTTCAGGCTGGCCTTGAATTCACTGTGTAGCTCAGGTTGGCCTTGAACTTTTGGCAATTCTCCTGCCTCACGCTCCTGAGTGCTGGGATTACAGGCACGTACCACCACACCCAGCCAGAAACTAATGTTAGTAATGTCCTCCTCTGGAAAATAGTAACTTGCATGCGCTTACCTGAGTACTCCTACTTCATTTTTGAAGGCCTGTAACTGTTGAGGTGTGGGTGCTGTCACATTCAACATTTTCACTGCCACATCACCTAAAAGGTAAGTGTCATTCCAGATGTCATTCCAACTTCCTAAATTTAAAACTATGAATCATTCTTTGTTTTTATTAATCACTGCAGCCCTAAATCCTTACCATTATTAAACTACAAATAAATTACACCTTAACTATCAAAATTGCATTAATGTTCTAAGGATAAAAACTAAAGTAACAATAATATTCCTATGCTAATATTTCAAAATACCAAACCAAAAAATAACCAACTTTATTTTTCCCCTGGAAATTTAGTTTAACCTATTAAGAACCCAGAATATTTTCCCAATTATTTAATAATATTAAATGAGATACATTTATTAGTTGAATGTTGAAACTAAAGATAACAGGTCCTCCAATGGTGTTTAGTCTAAAACAGAAAACTGCAGACTTCTTTACCAAAGTAGTTAACATTTTTTCTTCAAATCTATGAATTACTCATGATGTTTTTGATTAGGACAATGATTAATTATAAGTATAATTTAAAGAATGACTTTATATCAAACATCTAAACTCTTACACACTGACAGTAGATGTGTAAACTGGTACAATCACTTTGTAACACTGTTGGCAGTATCTGTTAAACTGGACATACTCAAATTGTGTGGCCCCACATTTTTCTCCTAGGTACACACCCAGCAAAAACAGACACATGTGTTCCCTGAAAGACACATACCGAAAAGATTTATAGAAGCATCACTTACAATAGCCCTAAACTGGAGACTACCCAATGCTTATGTTATGGTAGATGGATGAAGAAATCAGGTTATAGTTAACACAATGGAACAGTATATAGAATGAATGAGTTACAACTATAGCCAACAATACGAATGAATCTTAAACACAAATGTTGAAAGAGAGGGGCCAGACCAAAAAAAGAGTTCACACTGGCATACGGGTTTAGCTTCTAGAATGCCAGTAATGTTCTGTTTGTTAATCATAGTTGTATTTACTTTGTGAAATTTTAGGTACTTGTACATTTATATGTACTTTTTAATATGTATATTATACTTTTCTATGTATGTCTTTGACTTTTCCTAATTATTAAAATAGTGTTAATTCTATTGGCTGTGCTATAATTTGCATATCACTTAAATGTTTAAAAATATTTTGAATGAATTAAGAAAAAAATTCCCATTATCATGTCACTCAAAAATGACAATTATTAAAAAAATGACAATTATTCTGTTATGTATCTACTAGACTTGTATATGTACTCAATGTGAATACCTATGAATATGTTGAAAGAATAACTCAAAGTGATATATACTAAAATTCTCATAGCAATTTTTTTTACATTATGTTACATATTTCTACGTAGCTCAATAATGTGGAGTTTTATACATGCTGGTTTATATAATTTAATATACTAAAGATACCCTCCCATACTAATAAATGCAGATCTGTTATATTATTTAAAATCATATATACAGGTATCAACTTATTTATCAAATCCTCTATGAACAGGCTCTTACTTGCTTTCATTTTTCACTAGTACATTTCTTTTTTTATTTTTTTAATTTTTTTTACTAGTAAATTTCTGAGGACTATTCTTTCATATACATCTGTTCATTCCTGTCCAATTTCCTCAGGATAATGTCCTACAAATGGAACTGTTGGACACAGAGTGTGTCCTTGATACACAGTGTCAACTGTCTTCCAGAAAGTTTGCAGCAATTTATTGTCCTACCACAGCATGATATTCTCAATTCTAAATATGATCAATTAAAAAAATATTTTTCCATTTGAGAGACAAATGATGATTTCTATTTGTTGAATTTGGCATTCTTTGATGACTAGTAAGGCTGAACAATTTTTGTATGTTTGCTGACCACATACAGTTCTGCCTTTGTTAAGTACACTTCTAATATGCTCACTTGTGATTATCATCAGAAAGACTTCTACAAGAAAAAAGAAATCATTTTGAGGACTATATAACCTGAAAGATCTTCATCTTTAAAAATTATTTCTGTAAAATAATGATAGGAGTCCTAGTTGCTGTGAACCCAGTTTCTAGTTCCCGTAATAGAAAATATTGCAAGACTCCAAGTGATGAAGTTTAATCATGCAAAGAGTAAGTACTTTCTTTGACTGATACCATTATGGCTTGTGACAATGTCACATTACATACATACCATGCCACTTTCCCTTGTAGACTGTTCCAAAGGACCCAGATCCAATTCTTTGTCCCACTGTAATCTGCCCATCAGGAATCTCCCAATCATCACTTGAATCCCGTCTTCCAAGTGTTTTCTTGATAAAAATAGTTCAAAAGTTGAAGTCAAGCCAAGCCAAACAAAGAAAGAAAACCTTTATCTTTCTTTCATACTGAGTACATTAACCTATGCCTGAAAGGTATATCAGTCAGGAAGAGAACAGGTTTCTTTTTTTTAAAAAAAGCACATTCTTTTTTTTGATACCAGGAATTGAACTCGCGTCCTTCGGCTTGCAAGACAGGCAGTAGAACCATTGAGCTAAATCCCCAGCCTCCAAAAAAGCACATTCTAAAGGCATAATAAAGGTATGTATAAAAATACAAAATTTAAATTTATGACAAGTCAGTATTAGAATGAAAATTTATTAAAAATAGATATTATTTAATGAGTATATACAGAAACGCATATTACTAAAGTCAATAAAATAAATAGCTTTTTACATTTGGAAGAGTATCAGGAGCATATATTTGTGACTGGTTTTAGCTCAGAATTCCTCAAAATTTAAGTCAACATATTGTGGTAATGGCTGACTGCTTCTCCAGATACCCTTTTCCAGTCAGTGGTAAATTTTCTTATATAGATTATCTCACTGGGTCTCTCAAAAAAAAAAAAATCAGCACATGCAGTTATACTTTGGTAAAGAATCTACTACTAGCTATCAAATAGGTAGCCGAAAGTTAATTTTTCAAATAGAGAAGAATGTCATTGGTAGATATTTGAATTTTGGACCAGCCTTTAGACAGATTATGGTTTCTAAATACTTGTTCACTCTCTTTTTCCTTATTTTAGAACCAGGACACAATTGTTACTCTTCCAAAACTGTCTTTCACTAAATTAGATTAGAGCTGAGAACAAAAATGAGTCTTGTGGGAATTATGCTTTAAGCAAATTGTTGTCACCTCTTAAAATGATTTGATTATGAGAATTTCACATCACATACAGACACAATATATCTAAAAGGTGACAGTACTTTTGACTATGATTTCTAGAAAGAAAAAACTTAGAAGGAAAAAAGATATCAAATATTTTTACCATTCGATTTCTGTCTTCTGAGGATGAAGACGACTTCCTTTCTCGCTGAGGTCCTGGAGATTTCTGTAAGGCTTTCACATTAGTGAGTGAGCCAGGTAATGAGGCAGGTGGGGTGGCAGACAAACCTGTGGTTGATCCTAAATTAGAGAAAGGGAAAATGTATCCACTAAAGAGGGGCAAGCATACTTATTTATTAGAGGGTAGAAGGTGAGGGAGATTCAGACTTATTTTTAAAATAAGTGCATGTTCAAACACTGATCTTTGGCTGGGTATTTAGTTCAGTGGCACCATGCCTGCCTTGCAAGTGCAAGGTCTTTAGTTCTATCCCCGGTACAGGAAAAAAACCAAAAACCACTGATACTTGGGAAAGAACAGGACACACACAAAAAAAGGCCTTATTTGTGATTAGAACTATATTGAATTTTCTAGTCCATCTAATGACCTCTAATGATAGAAACATACTTTGTTTACTGGTGCAAAGTATAGTAAAAAAATTGAAAACAATTGACAACTACTAAAGAATACTTCCAAGTTTCTGTTTCTGTCATTAAAAAATAAAAAAGCAAGACCAATTAAAAGCCTGCATAATAAATAAGCTTTTAATTATTTTATTTACTTCAGTAGCCAATCAATATTTTAAAAGATGGAAAACCCAAAATGAATAACTTCTAATAATGGCCTTAATGTTGAAAATATCTGGCTCTTTCACATTAGCAACTACTTTAAATACAATCCCAAAGTATAAGCTCTGCTATTTAAAAGATTAGTGGTCAGTAGTTCCTGGAGGATTTTTCTACTGAGCATACATAGATTATTTGTTACCTGGACATCAAAGTAAATGTAAGCAAAGTCAAGTAGGCTTTTTGAGATTTTCTTAAAAATCTTTGCCTTTGCGGGGCTGGGGATTTAGCTCAGTGGTTCCACCACCTGCCTCACAAGTGGAAGGTCCTGAGTTCGATCCCCGGTACCCCTACCCCCCCCCCCAAATCTTTGCCCTTGGAAAGTGAGCAAAGTCCTACAGCCTCAAAGCCAAGTTACTACAAATTGCATTATTTTATCAGCCAAGTGAGCCTGAGGGGTACTCTTTGGAAGTGGACTCAGTTGGCAGAATTGCAAATTTTCTGGTGGGTACATTTCTAAATGTTAACTCTGGCAAACATTCTAAGCTTACATACAGTTGCACTTGGTTACATACAGTGGCACTTGGTTTGGAGGGGCTCATGGATAAACTCTTAGTGGAGCCTGAGTATAGCTGAGTGAGACTGAGATTTCCAGGTAATATTTTCATACACAGAACATCAAGAAACTTTAAACAAAAAAAGAAAGAGGATTACTACTATGTGTGTGCATGTAGAAAGCCATGATCTTTTACGGAACAAGGATACCAAAGATAATATTTAAATGTTAAATCTGAGTAGAAGTTTTATCATTACATCATACTAAACTATCATGTGAAATTTCCATGATCTCATATATAGAAAATGGTATCTGAAATGCCTTTTAACTAGAATACAATCTATTTTCTACATGCCACTGATAATTTTCAACATTATAAAGCCTTACCTGCTTATCTGGGCTTCCCAGTTAAGATCTACTCAGTAATATACTATACTACTAAGTTGAATTATATTAGTACTGATTGACTTCCATCCCATTCTATGGATTTTCTGAGACACAGCTGGGATGAGAAAGCCAAAATCTAAAACATCATTCCTATACTCAGAATAAGTATCAGTCACTAATTAGCAGCAAGAGTTAGTAAATACAATGCTTTAAAGAATTTATACCAAGACATCTGTCCCAATTTCACATCAAAATTTTAAAAATCAGTTTAACTTCTAATTAAAGTACAGGAAAATAAAATGGGAGAGTAAAATTATATTGATAACTTTTCCCTTGTCTTTGGGCATAACTGAAATTATAAATCCTCAAAATTTCTGAAATATCCTGAAATAGCTAAAATATATTATACATTTTTAAGCAACTTCCTATTTTTTATATAAAATATACACATCTCATATCAGGGAAAAAGCTAACCAACAAGTCAAACAAATAAAAAAACTTTGCTGATAAAGAATCTTAAAAAAAAAAAAAAAAGCCAAAAGTCTACTAAAAATATTGTAATAGGGGTTTCCATTTAAATTTTTTATTTGCTTAAAAATTACAAAAAACTGCTAACAAACATTAAGTAATCAACATCATCACTTAAATGGATAAAACCAACAGAATCCTGATTGCAGACTCTCCTCCCACAGCTTATTTATTCCCACCCACTGAGGTTAAGAAGATCAAGAATAACAAAAAAACAACATGGAAATCTTAGCTCAGAACTTTCTTGCTTTAAAAAATTTATGACAGACAGCAAAAGAAAGCTTGCAGTAGTGAGTATGTGTGAGAAGCACATTCAGAGCATTCCAGCCAGGCCAAGCAGCAATTTAGTACAGAAAACTCTCACACTTACAAACACACGCTGTGAGGGTGAGGCACAAACAGCATCTGTAGTTTATATTTAGTTTGCTTTGGGTGAAAACAAGAAAGAAGAGCCCAACTACCTCTGAACACTGGGCCAGGCTCAAAATCAAACACTATTTCACTGGGGACAGAATGTAGGAGGGGACTGGGAGTCCGGGATTGGTATTTCCGAAGACAGCGCATCAGCTGGTTCAAGGGGGCTGTTAGAAGAGAAAGAGAGGGGCAGGCAAACACAGGAAGACAGACACACAGAAGAAATGAAAGAAGTCATGGGGAATAAATAAGATGAACTGAAGCCCGCTTCACAAAATAATTCTGATCATTTAAAAAAAACTGCTAATTTTCATAAAATCCGAGTGATATTTTATAAAGTGACTCATAAAAAGGACAAAAGTGCCACTTGATTTTAGTTACTAAGCAGGCTGTGTTTATGACAAAGTTAACTCTATGACGCTAACATGATGGCAACATTTAAATGCTGGATGTACTGGGCAAAATTATCAAAGAGCCACAGCTATAAAGACATACAAAAATCAAACTGGCAGCAACAGTAATTGGTGGGTTCACAGAATAACGAACAGAAAAAACCCTTTGTATAACTACACACTACAGTAGTTAATACTAAGTCCAGAGTATATAATGCAGGCTTAGTAATTTTGGTAGCATCACAGTTTTACAGGAATATAACAAAAGAAGGTTATATAAGGTTTACTCAAAATAAGTATCTTGGAAATCTGGATTTGGATATTCTGAATATACAGAAGGCCACAGTGGAGACCAGCTCTAAGTGTTAACACATAGTTTTATTACAGGTCTTCCTTATTGGGCAGAAGCCAGTTGAGGAGGGAAGTGTGGAAAGACCTCCTTCAAGAAGATGCCAAGATAGTGTCAAATATGATCTCTTAGAAAACAATTATACAGGTAGGGTAAATTCTTACAAAAAAATGTTTTCATAAGTAGTTTGTCTTTGCTAGAGTGAATAATAAATTAGAATTCTGTAAGAAATTTCAATTCAATGTCTCATTTGCTCATTTTATTTACTAAACAAGAGGACAACTGAGTTTTTCTATTATGAGTTCATTCTATAAAACGCACATTTCATACACTTCCAGAATGTTGAAGGGAAGTGGTTAATAAAGTCTGACAAACTGAGAAGTTGTGGCAGGCAATCCAATGGACACCCCCTCAAGAATGATTTCATAAAAATAATTTTATCTGATTCTAAGCTCAATCTTTAAGTATCAGTGGAAGACTCCAATGCAAACTTAAGAACTCCAGCTCTGGAGACGGTAGAAATAAAGTGAGTAAAATATTTAAGAATCTTTCCTTGGTACAATATTTTAAAATTGTAAATCATATACTTAAGACTTTCATTTCCCTCATTTTCTGTACTCATGAATTAGTTAACATTTTATTAGCAACAAGTAATATTATAAAAAAATTTAGATTTTCTCTACACATTTTTCTCTGTGTCTGTTTCATGAAAGAAGCAAGTATAAAAGAGACAAGCAGCAAAGCAATTGCATTTTTCCGAGTTTTTTTATTAATAAAAACTGAAATCATTACTTACCTCCATCGCTACGAAACCCTTGGTCTCTAATCAAATCCTACAAATAAATGGTAAAGCATATTTATTCATCGCATACAGTAAGAAAGAGACAACACTGAATTTTCCACTATACATTAACAGAAAGGGTACTTCAAAACACCTGTCTTAGCATTTCTTCACAAAACAAAGAATATGAAATTAAGTAGTGTACATGACAAAAACTAAATTTTGAAGTAGTTGGCAACCTAACCCTATTCTGAAAGGATCAGTCAATGGTCCTGATCAAATGAAATCCATTTCAGGCCATTCAAAACCAATGGCTTCAGCAATCCTTAAAGAAAATTCTACTGGCACATATTAAGAGCCATAAAAATGTTCATACCCTTTGATCCTGTAATTCCACTTCTGGGAATTTTTCCTAAGGAAATAATTCAGAAGAAAAGAAATGATATGCACAAAGATGTTTAGTGCAACATTATTTATCATACTAAAAAATCAGAAATGATTATTTTTCTATTACAGGCTTTTTGACATAATATGGTTAAGTCATGGTATATCAATTTAATGAAGTATTATGCAGTTACCAAAACAATTCTGAAAGCTAAATCATGAAACATGTTTACAATAGAATAAAAAAATACAAAATTTAAAAGTACACTGAATGCCATCACAAAAATATGAATGTACAAGGACACACTAGTCAAAACAACTCAAATAAGGACTTCTTAAAATGTCTTTCTTATTACAATATAGCTTTTTACAACAATGTTGGTAGTGGAGGAGTCTCTCCTGCCAATGCAATTTGGACTTGGATAGGCAGAACTTGGATTGATTTGTTTACTTAACTTGAATGTGCAGGATTGAATGGCCCCAAATGTCTTTAGGCTCTTTGCAAACAGGCAGCTTTTAGCTTACTGGCTAAATGAAGAGTATATTCTTTACAGGTATATTTCTATCATGTTCAATGTATTACATAAGGCCTTCTACGTGTTTTACAGCATCAACAAATACTCATATAACTTCAAAGTGGTAGGTGCTAGTGGTTGCATGGTTGGTTATCAGTAAATATAAAATTCTGGTGGTCTCACTACCCTTCTGTGATTTCGAGTTTTCAATTTCATTAAAAAAAAAGTATAATCCACAATCTCATTGAAGTGAGATATAAACATGAAAATATTAAGACTATAATAAAAGGTATCAGTTTGTTGTGGAGTTACTGCTAAGAGGTACTGGTGATAAGATTTTTTAGTGCTACCTATAATAAACTATAGAATTTGGTCACTGATGAAGCATGTCAAAGAAATGTCTGTGAACTGAGGTTTGAGGAACGGATAGGCATGTAGAAATGCAAATGATCCAGAAGAGAAAGGTCATATCTATTTTCTTTTTGCTATTCCAGATCTGAAACTCACAACAACTGTGGATTAAGCAAATTTGCTTTTCTCTACTATTACAAGATACTGCTGGTGCCAATCTGAACTTACATTTTAATTTCAAATGTGTTTTTAAAGCACCTTGATAATCTTTCTACTTGTTCTAGGTTAAACAGGATAGCCTAGCATTTCAAACTTTTCCCCACCTTCTTGTATTTTCTCTTACATCCCTTCTATTTAGCATGATAGAGGTAACAAACTTTAAAGAACTTTCAATCCTGCCTATCTACAAATATTTAAACAGTAGTATTAGGTATAATTTATTAGCTGTAATGGAGCAGGCATAAAAAGGGTTTCAAAGCATTACAGGAAGCAGACATCACCAGCTTCAGGGGTAAGTACTCTGCCCAACATCATACAGTATGAAAAGAGCTACGTCCATCTGTTAATCTCCCGTATCCTCAGTGGGACAACATTTCCAAGTCCACGGAACTTTATGTCATCAATTATTCTCCATTTTGTTATCTTCAACCTCTCTTCACTGGCTTCTTTCTCTCTAATTACAAATATCCTGAAGTCTCTTACATTAAAAACTGCTCCTTAGCTATGGCTCTCCTGTCATTCCTTTACAGCAAAGGTTCTATCCTATTTCCTTGCCTGCTTTCCTCTTCCCCAAAACAGTCCTCCCTCTCCCCCGTCTTTTTCTGGTGGTGTTGGAGGTAGAACCCAGGGACTTAGGCATTTAGGTAAGCACTCTATCATGGGAGCTATTCCGCGAGACCCAAAATGACATTTTAATTGCCAGAACCAATAGTCATTTCAGTCTTAATGATGTGACATCAATACTATAGCTTTCCTGAAGCCCTTTTTATTCCCTTTGATCTCCGCAACACTATCTTGTCTTTGTTATCTGGAGCTAGACTTAGAAAGAAGAGCCCATAAGATGACGGAGAACAACAATCTCTGCCTAAACCTCAACTGTTGCACTTTCTGGCTTCTTTTTACATTTTACATTTTTTACTCAATTTACTAATTCTTTTTGTTTTTTGATACCGGGAATCAAATTCAGGACCTTGCACTTTCGAGGCAGGCGGTGACACCACTGGGCTAAATCTCCGGCTCACTCTATTTACATTTATTGAATAATATCATTTACATCAATGGTTTTAACTATACAAATATGCTAATTTGCTTCTAAATCTGTATCTCTCATTTCAGGTCCTTATGTTCAACTCCTTTTGGACTTTTAAACCTCAAAGTCCCACAGATATCTTATAGTCAATGTTTTCAAAGTAAAAGTTTAGCATTTTTGTTTAAATAAATCCTGTTCAGGTCTACAAGCCAGGTATCTATGAACCAGAAACCTGGGGATCAAGGTCTACTCCTCCTCCATCATTTCTCCCTACCACTGCACAGCATGGGTAACCAAAAGAAAGGAGGGCCAGGTTCAAATCATTGAAGTCGGGGGCAGGGATTTAGTTCAGTGGTTCTGGCGCCTGCCTCAAAAGCGCAAGGTCCCAAGTTCATTCCCCAGTACCAAAAAAGAAAAAAAAATTTCTGTCCAAATCACTGAAGTCCATGTTAATCATTTATCAGCTGTGTGGTCTGGGGTACATTTCTTAACCTCTGTATATCTAATTTTCATAACAGTAAAGCAAAAACAATAGTACTTAACTCATGAGTTAAGACTCAAGACAAGAAACTGTTACAGCACTCAGCATACATAGTATCTGCTACACAATAAGCACTTAAAAATAGTAGCCGCTTTTAATATTCCTAAGAGTTACTACTAATTCACTAATTTATTGTCTCCTCCCTCAAACTTACTAATTCTCTTTCACCACCAATGCTACTACTAAAGTTTAAACCTTTATTGCCTATTATCTGTAATACTGCAAAAGTCACATAGCTAAATGCCTTTAGATGTGGTACCCATTTGACCTAGCCTCCATACTACTACCAAAGATTTTTCTAAAATACAGAGCTGACCTCTCATACTCAAGTGTTTTAGACGCCCCTACCACTACTTTATTTATTTATTTTTGTACCTGGGATTGAACTTGGGATCTTTCGCTTGTGAAGCAGGCGGCGGAACCACTGAGCTAAATCCTCGGCCTCCTACCACTACTTTAGAGACTTTAGAAGAATACATAAAGCTTTTCAGCCTGGACTTTAGCTACTTTTATCTTCTATCATTCACCAAACTTCTGAACCCTAAACTCCTACAATATCAACTATCAATTACATCCATGTAAAGGCATTTCCATGCCTTTGCACTATTTCTGTAACAAACAGCTTTCCTTCTTAATTCCCTATCTAGTGTATAAACATACTTACTCATTCACCTTTTGCAATCTGGTTTCAATGTTATCCCCACTGCAATATATTCCTAGATCCAGGCAGTTTATTAACCCTTTTCTAAACTACCATTCTATTTTTTTGTGATTATTTATTCATATATCTGATCCATCTACTAAACTTCGACTTTCTAGAGGGCAAAGATTATGTGCTACCTTATTCTTACTTTCTAACTGCTAGCCCAGAGTCAAAAGTAAATCTTTTTGGTGGAATAATGAGTGACCGAACATAAACGAAATGCTAAAGTTTAAAGGTTATTTTGTTATGAATGGTAAGTCACTGAAAGTTTTGGAACAAGGGAATGGATGATGATAAACATGTTACTAAAAATTATCTTGACAACAGCACAAAGAATGGAAATAGAAATAAATGTAGAGAAATCCATTTAGAAGGTAAATGTAGTAATGTAGTAAATGTAGTTCAAGTGAAGAAATATGGGCCTAAATAGTGGTAGTGATAAATAAGACAGTTTGAGATGCACAGGAAAGGAAAAGGTTATAATTGTTTGGGTATGAGAAGGAAGAAAAAACAAGATATAAAGTGATACTTCAAAAGTTTCAAGGGCTGGGGATTTAGCTCAGTGGTTCCATTGCCTGCCTTGCAAGCCCAAGGACCCGAGTTTGATCCCTGGTACCAAAAAAAAAAATTTCAAGCCTAAAAGACCAGGAGAACAGTGGTCACAATCAGAGAAAAAAGAAAATAGTTTAAAAAGATGTTACTTTTGAAAGTAACGATGAAGGTTACACTTTTGGGTGTACTGATCCAGATCTAACCTAAAAATATGTTTTGAGTTCTTAGTATTTCATAACCTTTTAATTTCTGTATTTCCCTTTCCCACTTCTTTCTTCCTTTGTATTTGAAGGACCTATTAATGAAGGAAAATTGGTACCAGGAAAAAGCTACTTAAATGAATTGAAATTCATATAAACCTTAACATTTAAAATAACTATATGATGGCCAGGGATTTAGCTCAGTGGTGCCACTGCCTGCCTCTCAAGCGCAAGGTCCTGAATTTGATCCTCAGTACCAAAAAAACACAAAAAACTATGATGAATGAAAGATGACACTTATTTCTGATCTATACTGTAATAGTGGAAAAATAAAGAAATACACCTTAATTGTTTTAGTTGTAGTAGTGTTGGATACTTACATCAATATTGACAGGTTCTATCGTGTTTATATGCACATTGGGAGCAGATGAGGACCGGTCTCGCTGCCCAAATTGATTTCGATGATCTTCATCTGCTGGTCGGAAAGGCTGTGGAATTGGAATGGATTTTGAAGGAGATGGGCTGGTGAGAATTGAGGGCCTGGAAAAATCAAGTCATTGGAAGGTAAGATTCAGAGAAACTATATACATAGAGATAATAATGTTTAAAAATGGAAGATATGAAGATTTTCTTATTTAATATAAAAATCTTTAGAGTAGTGTAATTCCAGCAGTAATGGCTGTATAAAAAGCAAAAGTTTAATAAACTAACATACTACCATTACTCCTGCCAAAGCTGCTTTTCTCAGCAGAGCCTTGCAGGGATTATTAGTGATAAGAACACTGATTCTTACCCAGAAAATTCCAGGGAATCTGTGCTTACAAAATGGCTAGAAGTGACCTGTGTCTAGTCAACTGAAGATGCTCTTATCCTTTAAAATATACAAAAATGATCTAGGCAGAGACTGACTGAATAAAATTAGCTATTCTTTTTTCTAACTGTGCATTTCTTGGTATCTGAGGCTACTACCATAAACATTTTACAGAATATATTAGAAGTTGTAAGTATTTTGAGACTATACCCATGCATTCAGTACCTGAAAGATACACCAGCTGCTTTACCATCAGAATTGAATGAAAATTCTGAACAATATCAAAAGATCATTTCCAAATTCAGAAGATGACCTTCATAGTGTCAAAATCTTTCAAATTGTGAAATTCTTTTTGTCTTTTTTTTTGGTACCGGGGATCGAACTCGGGTCCTTGTGCTTGCGCAGCAGGCGGCGAAACCACTGAGCTAAATCCCCGGCCCACATTGTGAAACTTTTATCATGCCCAAGTACTGATACAAGAGACACAAGAAAATCATATACTAAATACTAAAGCAAGTATTTTAAAAAATTGCTTTTTGATCAAACCATCAAAGTAGGTCACAGGGTGAAAGTAACAAAGTCTGTGTTCTCTCACTGGCTCTAAAGTGAATTTAACACAGAAAACCTGAAATTTTAAGCACCTACAAGGAGTCTATGCTCCTCAGAAAAGACCCCCGCGGTGGCAAGGCAGTATCACTGGGTTCGTGAGGTATGGCTGTCTTGCTGAGCTCCATCAGGGCCAATAAATGACTGCATTCACAAAATCTTTTTATATATTGGTTATCATTCCACCCCATCTTCTGCAAACTCTCTAACAAGTCAGCTTTATTTAGTGGTTATTAGGACAGAAAGACAATGTTGAGTGAATAAAAAGCCATTTGTGAGGAGTGAGGATTTGGATAGGAATGACAGGAATATATAATAGGAAAAGGAATGGATAAAGGTTTGAAGAGCAAAGAAAGTTCAACAATGACAAAAACCCACTGAATAAAGCATGTCAACAGAATCAGAATTATATATCAGTTTATAGTTTTACTTTTCTGAACACATTAAAGATAGGGAAAGAAATTTTGACTGTATATATTCATATTAATTACATGAATCCATTTAGAAATGATATGCAAATAATAAAATATCATATACTAAATACCAGCTCAATTAGAATTTTAGTTTAGTTAACTCGTCTTTGGGAAATTAGCATGAAGTTTCACCCTTTTCATGTTTCCTGGTTATTGAGAAATTCTTAGATTGTGATATAGCTGCCTTTATTCTTGCTTTCGGTGGTCAAATATATGTCCTTTGCTAAGAAATTCTGGGTGAGGTTAAAAAAATGTTTTGGAAAGTGCACTGACTGCTAAACTACTTACAAGGCTGCTATTAGGTTTTAGGGCAAAAGTAAAGTTTAAATCAGACTTAAACTGGAAAAGGCCTGAATGAACTGGAACTGTACAGGACAGTCTAATTAATAATAATTGGCCTGATATAGACAGAAGTGGCAGTAAGTTTCTCCTTAGGACTATGACAGAAGCAGCAAACTGAAAGTACGCATGCAAGAGAGATTGATCCAGAATCAAGAAAATCAAACACTTGCATTTAATGTGATAAATCTCATTATCGTAGCAGAAGAAAAGAATGGATATACAGTACTTGAAAATGAGATTTCTGCCTATTATACAAAATCCAGAGGCTAATACCAACAACCTGGTGGGGAAGGTATGCCTTGGTCCACATTGTCAATTTACTTAGCAGTAAAGCCAAGTATAACAATTTTGGAGAAGACTTCGCATTATCAGGACCCTGGTGTATTAAATGTCTGACCCATGTCCTAATTCCATGCATAATACACTCTCCTGATTATAATATGGTTTCCCATCAACATTTTCCAAAAGAGCAGTGGGTGTTGATCCATCTAATATAAGATATCTGACTTGTATAGCTGGTATATTTCTTACTGAAATCAATTATTTGGTATTCTGACTTTGTTTTGATTTTGCTGAATGTAAATTTATATAGTTACTAATTCTCATCATTTCTGGGAACTGATAAAATTGAGTTTCCACACTGGGAAATCTTTATCTGGACCAAGGCAACTAAGTAACTTGGCAGTCATCCAACTGGCTCTCTCCACAAGATACATTTTTATGGATCTTGCTGCATCTTTAAATCAATACAAAATCAAAAATTTTAAAAATCTTTAACACTGTTTAGTAAATTACCATTAATTTAGATCTCATTTTTAAGCTAGAATATTTAAAACTTTTGCAGCAAAGTGACTACTTTTGTTCAGTGATATGCAAACTTTAAAATTTCATCATGGTGTTCTGTAACTCTGCTCTCATAGAACTAGGATCCACCATTAGAAAGGGACTGTGGTCTACAGAATTTATCAGGAGAAAATGTCATAGCCAAAGGAATAATTCAAAACCAAAACAAACACAGTAACATTTTTATTTGATTGTCTAAAAAACACACAGCTGTACACAACTAATGATAGAGCCAGCAGACAAAATGAGTAGCAAAGGAGGTAACCGTTACATCCTGACAAAAGAACGTAGTGGTTGCATTTTCTAGTTGTTCCAAATGGAGAAATACACCCACTATTTAATACAAAAGTCTTCTGTTAACTTTTCTAACCTATGAGATCTTTAGGATGACTGACTTCACAAAAATTACAGATCTATGAGAAGTGTCAACTTATTATCTCTCTAGGTAGAACCCTAAAGAAATACAATTACATTGTGAAGAGAGGAAGGAAGTAGAGTAAAAACTGACAGTAAGAATTTCTGAACTAAGTATCTCTGAAATATTTTTTAACCATAAGAATCCAGACATAACGTATATTATGGTGCCTCAAATCCAGCCAGGAAAAAGCAGATCTGTGTAAGAAATGGTCCAGAAGCCAAGTGTGGTGGCACATGCCTGTAATCCCACCACTGAGAAGGCTGAGGTAGGAGGATCGCCATGAGTTTGAGGCCAGTCTGGGCTACTTAGTTCAAGGCCAGCCTAAATTACATGGTGAGACTCTGTCTCAAAAAACAAAACAAAACAAAAACAAAAAAAGAAAAGAAAGAAGAGAAATGCTCCAGAGCAAACTAATACCACTTAACTCATTACTGTGGATCCCTTTTCTTCCTACCCTCAAGTTGAAATACATGATGCTTTTGCCTTGCTTGTAAAGCCACTGCTTTATTCTTTACAACTGACAATACTATTAATTTTTCTTCTGCACTTTATGAACAACTGTCCTTCTCTGCACTGCCACCACTCCAGGTCAGGACCTGTCTGCCTGCCTTCATTACCTAGTTGCCATTCCTCACTTAAGACTTTTCTCTATCAGTCCATCTGTAGTTCACTGCTACATGATTCTTTCTTTAAAACCATTTTCATCAGGCTAGTAATCTGCTTGAAAACCTTTAATTTTTTCTCCCTTCTTGTGTCAAGCAAATTCTAATATTCTCTGTAGCTGGGCTTTACACATGGCACTTCTCAATTCAGACAAGCCTTTCTTCACTAGCTCTTTAATTATGCCACTTTTCCATCTCCTATAGCTACACTTTCATTTCCTATGCTCACTCAGATTCTAGTCTAGTTCAGATCCCGTCTTCTCTATTAAGTTTTCCTGCTCTTTTCTCTATTCTCCCATTTCCTATAAAAATGAAAACATTTATATTCTTATCACATAGTTTAATATACTCCACCATAAACTATAGCTTATAAAGTTTAAAAAATTACTTACAGTTGTTTCATATGTTCATGCTACTTTTATGAATGGGAGTCATACATTTCTATATCTAATATTACCTAATAAAATATAAACAAAAGGTAGCAACTCAAAATCATCTGTTGTTTGATTATTTTCAGGACTGGTCCTGAAAGAGTCTATGCTACTTTAATCCCATTTCTGTATCAAATACATGTAAATGTCTGAAAGATGTGATAAAATAAGTTATTTGGGAAAAAAATCATTAATTTAATAATTCAAGTGTTAGAAAGGTTCTCAAATTAACCAAAAGATAGAAAAGAAAGCATTTCAAATAGCACATTACTCTACAGGAGTGAAATCATACCCAATGGACTCTGAGGGGGGTGCAGAAGGGGATGATCCAGATGTAAGGGTGGTCTCTGCTAAGGAGGCCTCCTCCTGTGGTATTGGGTGATGTTCAAAGAACTTGGAGACAAACAGCAAACTGTGAGGCAAAAACAAAAGAAAACAAAACAAACCTAACTTGTGTAAAACCCGCGTCAGTATGACAATACACAGTTAATGGAAAAATAAAGGATCAAATTCCATTTCCAGAAACAATTGTTAAAATTCAATTAGTTGTATTTTTGTATAAAGGCTTATTAAAACAATTACATTTTACTTTCAAAGGCAAGCTCAAACTCTAAAGCTAATTGTTCTCTTCAGTAAATTTCTACACATTACAGGGGGAAAATCATGCTTCATGGTTAAAGCATTAGAAGAAAAAAGTATTGCTAAGTTAGACTACGTCATTAAAATTTGCTTTAAAGTACAAAGTTAAATTCTATTTGCTCAAGTAATCAGGAAAAATAAAAAGATCTTAAGAGTAGCAGCAACAACATTGACAAAAAAAGAGATTATGACAGATTCAGTCTAATCTTTTAGAAAAACTCTGGTTTAAAGCAAAAATAAATTTTATAAAGAAACTGAGTACTAAGATTTTTTTTTGGTACCAGGGATCGAACTTGGGACATTGTGCTTGCGAGGCAGGCGGCAACATTACTGAGCTAAATCCCCGGGCCCTGAGTACTAAGATTTTATATCTTACTCTCATATAAAATGAGGGAAGAGGGCTGAAGGTGAGGGGAGAAAAAGAAAGAATATATATGTAATTTAGAAAATAGAGACAGAAAAAAAAGAAAATAGAGACAGAATCAGATATCCTCATCTGCAGTCTAAAAATACAATAATCCATTTATAATTGAAGTGACAATGCATCTCCTCTCAAAAACTGTCCAAAAGTTATTTCTATAGACTAGGCATTTTTATTAATTAAAAGAAAATCTAAAATATAAATTAAATGTACAGCTGGACCAGAATTACAATTTAGAGAGAAATGCTGGCTGTAGCTACATGCTACTCTCTGATCACATTTTAAAAAATTCTTTGTAACATCTACTAGAAAGAAAACCTTTTAATTTACTTGTAGGACATACTGGCTTCAGATTATGAAAATTTAAATGTAAAATGGTAGATATAAAAGAGGTTCTTCTGGATTACTTACTCAAGTTGGTCATAATTAACACACATCAGAGGAACCTCTGTACTACAGCGCTGGTGAAATTTATAACCACATGTTTGACAGCGGAAACCCTGGAACAGCAGCTTTCGACAAAAGTCACAAAATGCTAATGTGAAAAAAGTTTTCCGTACCTGCAAAGCAAAAAATCCAAGAGGTTTTCAAAAATGTGCAAGAATCTCTTTGGAAATCAACATGTTTACTCTCTTGTTTAAATAACTATTTTAAATATATTTATATCATTTTACTCATATACTACCATACAAAAAGAACACTAGGGATTTTGAAATAGTAGATGGGCTGTCCATTTTTATCTCTCATCCCAACATCTGAATTAAAAACTCAGAAGTCAAGATGAGAGACAAAGATTAGCAACTGATTTCAAGCTTGACAACATGAAAGTAGAAAAGAAGGGAATACAGGGAAATGGAAGGTGAAAGAAGGGTATGATTTAATTATTGTACAAAGAGGGGAGATAAACAATACTAACTGGCATTGATGGAACAAGAAATAAAGGTACACTTGTATTATTTAAAGTTATGAAGGTCTCCAACAGAAGGACTGAAAAAAGAAAAGAAAGCCGGATGTGGTAGCACATGCCTATAATCCCAGAACTCTGGGGGGCTGAGGCAGGAGGCTCGGAAGCTTAAGCCCAGACTGAGAAACTTAAATGATTTAGCAAGACACTCTCTCAAAATAATTTCAAAAGGCTGAGGATGTAGCTTAGTGTGAAGGCTCTGAGCTCATTCCCCAGTAACATGTACACAGAAAGAAAAAAAATTGGGAGGGAAGGGCTGTAATGCTAAGAATAAGAGGATTCCTAATGAAATCAGTGATCAATACTTGATGTCTAAAGTTGACAAAGCAAGAAATTTTAGCTAAAAATAATAATACATCATGAGGCTGAAGCAAGAGGATCACCCTCACCGTGAGTTTGAGGCCATCCTAGGCTACATGGTGAGTTCAAAGCCAGCCTGAACGGCATAGCAAGACCCTGTCTCAAAACAAACAAACAAACAAAAGACAATAATACAAAAATAATCACACAATGAGCTTAAAACAGAAACTACTAAAAATTAACCAATTTTCTCTGGAGAAGATTAAAGGAGGGAAGGCAGGATGAAAGGACAGAAGGGAAGAGGGAAAGAATATAAACATACATTATAAAATAGGTGATAGAATCAGAATCCCTCATGTGTGATCCAAGAACATAATGGTTAACAATTGAAATGACACTCACTTCTTCCAAAAACTATCTGAAAATAATTTCTTTTTTTTTCTCCTGAAAATAATTTCTATAGGCTGAGGGTCTTTATTAATTAAAAGAGTATCTATGCATTGAATGTACAGCTGAACCACAATTACAATTTGAGAGAGCAAGTGATGCCTATACTACATGTTACCATACCTTTAAAAATTTCTAACATACTGGACAGAAAACTCCTCACAGACCTGAAGGCATATTCATTTCATATAATGAAAATACAAATGTAAAATGGAAGAGAGAAGAGTTTATTACCTCAAGTTGGTCATAACACACATCATTAGAAATAATGCTGATGAAATTTATAATCAGCATTAAAAGCCAGCAAGAGATGGTACCATAGATAATTATTCATTATAAGCCACTCTGTACTACTTTTTTTTTTTTTTTTTTGCTGTACCAGGTATCAAACTCAGGACCTTGCACTTGCAAGGCAGGTGTGGCGCCACTGAGCTAAATCCCCAGCCCTCTGCATTACTTTTTTAAACCACTGATATATATTATTTGGGAAAAAGTGTAAAAATATTTACAAAAGATAAAACTAATATGTAATTGTGTGAAAATCAGCACAGGAATACTAGAATAAGGGGAAAAAATTACCTAAAAGACAATAAAAACTACTTTTAACAAACTATCAATTTTGTTAGAGGATTAGAATATTTAGATCATCAAAACTTGTTTTAAAAAGGGGCCGGGGATTTAGCTCAGTGGTTCTACCACCTGCTCCGCAAGCGCAAGGTCCCGAGTTCAATCCCCAGCATCAAAAACAACAACAAAACACTTGTTTTAAACATTTATGTGAAACTTAAAAGGCAACTTATGAAAATTCCATGTCAAAAAGCAAATGATAATATAAAAAGAATTGCGTAGGGAGAATCTATCTTATCAAAGCCAGAAACTGTTTAAAATGTACTTTTTCTAAGGCCGGGGATCTAGTTCAGTGGTGCTGCTGCCTGCCTTGCAGGCACAAGGTCCTGAGTTCGATCTCCAGTACCGAAAAAAAAAAAAGTACTTGTTCTGGAAATATAATAAGTAGAAAAACAGAAAACATTGAATAAAGAAATACCAAACTCTTAACAGTGGCTATTTCTTAGTGG